AACAGAAAGAGAAATTGTGGTTAGGCATGAAGTACTTAGGGGTCAGACAGACCTAGCAGCTGATACCACACCACAATTCACAGGTTTTGTGATTCTGATGAAATAATTTTATAAATCGAGGGTAACAATAGTACTCACCTTCCAGTGTTGCTGTGAAGAGGTATTGAAATAATAATGCATTTAGAGCATGTATAATACCTAGTGGCTGGTGTGAAAGTTCTCTATCAGTTTTTCTTAATATCTTTTAATAACTCTTTAGGAATCTGATGAAAATTTTGAATTGTCACAAAATACATATAGGTACACATAAACTTCTGCATACTATTTTACAGAGTTCATGAAAGGTAGTCTCTCATCAATTAAAATCTTCTGTTGTGCATTCAATTTTTTTTATTACTTTACCTAAATGTATTTTAAAATCTCCCACATAATACCTTTGCTTTATTTTTTTAATATTTATTGTGGATTTTGCTTTTCATATTTACACCAAGTGTTATTTGGTACATAAAGATTCATGCGTACTGTATCTTCATTCTTGTATATTCACTTGTTGTTATTGCTATTTCATGCTTATATAATTTAGCAAAGTACATCAATTCGTTTCTCTTAAATACATTTAATAGTTTATTTCTTTATTGATAAATGTAGACTTTCTTATTATTTCATTTCCACTTCTTTCTTCTTTTTAATATTTATTTAAATTTACCAGTGAGGCTCATTATACTATTTCCAATTTTTCTCATTTTATAATGTATTGATTTTCCTTATGTCTTTCATTCCTTTCATTATAATTTTAGTTCAATTTGAAATATTATATTAATGGTTAGTTCTTTATTTTTCTCTCATCTCAAATGAGAATAATTCTAAAACATAAGCAAATACTTTTAAGTACTTTGAATTGTATAATTTTAAAAATATATTTGTTATTTTGGTCAGAGAATAAAGCATATATGCTCTTTATATTTGTTGGAAGTTTATAATTCTCTGGTGGTGTAGTGCCTAAGTTTGACTGCTGATCGGAAGCCTGGCAATTCAAACCCACCAGCCACTCCTTGGAAGGAAGACTGGACAATCTACTTCCATAGAGACACCACCTCAGAAATCCAAGGAGGGATCACTATGAGTCACAATCAACTCATCTGTCAATTTATTGTGCTGTGGTGGCTTTTGTGGTGCTGTGAGACTAAAGGCTATGTCACTGGTATTTCAAATACCAGCAGGGTTACCTATGGGGGCCACATTTCAGCAGAGCTTCCAGACTAAGGCTGACTGGGAAGAATGATGGTGTCATCCACTTCTGAAAAAATGGCCAGTGAAAACCTTGCAAATAGCAGTGAAATATTGTCTGATATATTATTGGACAACTCTATGAATAGCCATGAAACATTGTATGACATAATGCTGGAAGATGAGACTCTGAGATTGGAAAGCACTCAAAATACAACTGGGGAAGAGCTGCCTCCTCAAAGTAGAGTAAATTTTAATAATGTGGATGGAGTAAAGCTTTCGTGACCTTCATTTGTTGATGGAACACAACTCAAAAAGGGAAGAAATAGCTGTAAATATCCATTAATAATTGGAACGTGGAATATATAAACTAAGAATCTATGAAAACTGGAAGCTGTCAAAAATGAAATAGAATGCATAAAGATTGATATCCTAGGTATTAGTGAGCTGAAATAGACTAGTATTGGACATTTTGAATCAGACAATCATATGGTCTACTATATCAGGAATGACAAATGGAAGAATAATGTCACATTCATCATCCAAAAGAACATTTAAAGATTTATCCTGAAGTCCAGTGCTGTCAGAGATAGGCTAACATCAATATGTCTCCAAGGAAGACCAAATAATACCATCATTCAAATTTATGCACCAAATACTAAAGCTAAACGTGAAGAAATCAAAGATTTTTACCAACATCTGCAGTCTGAAATTGACCAAACATCCACTCAAGATGTATTGATTATTACTAGTGATCAGAATGCAAAAATTGGAAATAAAGACAAATCATCAGTAGTTGGAAAATATGGCCTTGGTGACAAAAATGACACTGGAGATCTCATGATAGAATTTTGCAAGACCAGTGGCTTACTCATTGCAAATACATTTTTTCAACAACATGAACAGTGGCTATACACATGGTCTTCTCCATACAGAATGCACAGGAATCAGATTGACTACATCTGTGGAAAGAGGTGTTGGAGAAGCATAATATCTTCAGTCTGAACAAGGCAAGAAGCTGACTGTGGAACAGACTATCAATTGCTCATGTGCAAGTTGAAACTGAAGCTGAAGAAAATTAAAACAAGCCCACCAGAGGCAAAATATGACCTTGATTATATCCCACCTGAATTGAGAGACCATTTGAAGAATAGATTTGATGCACTGAACACTAATGACCCTAGACCACACAAGTTGTGGGATGACATCAAGAACATCATACCTGAAGAAGAAAAATGTCATTAAAAAGACAGGAAAGGAAGACAAACCAAAATGGATGTCAGAAGAGACTCTGAAACTTACTCTTGAATGGAGAGTAGCTAAGCGAATGGAAGAAATGATGAAATAAAAGAACTAAACAGAAGATTTGAAAGGGAAGTTTGAGAAGACAAAGTAAAATGCAATAATGAAAGTGCAAAGACCTGGGGCTAGGAAACCAAAAGGGAAGAGCACACTCAGCACTTCTCAAGCTGAAAGAACTGAAGAAAAAAAATCCAAGCCTTTAGATACAATATTGAAGGACTCTGTGGGCAAAATATTATATGATGCAGGAAGTATCAAAACAAGATGGAAGGAATACAGAGTCACTGTACCAAAAAGAATTGGTCAGTGTTCATCTATTTCAGGAGGTGGCATAGATCAAGGACCAATGGTATTGAAGGGAGAAGTCTAAGCTGCACTGAAGAAACTAGAGAAAAACAAAACAAAACAAAACAAAAAAACCTCACTGCCATCGAATCATTTTCGACTCATAGAGACCCCTCCTTGGGTTTCCAAGGTGGTATCTCTATGGAAGTAGGTTGCCCAGTCTTCCTTCTGAGGTGAAAAACAAGGCTCCAGGAATTGAAGAAATACCTACTGAAATGTTTCAACAACTGGATGTAGGGCTGGAGGTGCTTTCTCATTTATGCCAAGAAATTTGGAAGACAGCCACCTGGCCAACTGACTGGAAGAGATCCGTATTTGTGCCCATTCTAAACAAAGGTGATACAACAGAATGTGGGAATTACTGAACAGTATCATTAATAACACTTGTAACTAAAATTTTGCTGAAAGCAATTCAAAAAGTTTGCAGCAGTCTATTGACAGGGACTTCCAGAAATTCAAGCTAGATTCAGAAGAGGATGTGAAACAAGGGATATCATTGCTGATGTCAGATGGACCTTGGCTGAAATCAAAGAATACCAGAAAGATGTTTACTTTTGTTTTATTGACTATGCAAAGGCATTTAAATGTGTGGATCATAACAAATTATGGATAACATTGCAAAGAATGGGGATTCCAGAACACTTGTTCTCATAAGGAACCTGCATATAGACCAAAAGGCTGTCATTTGAACAGAACAAAGAGATACTGCATGGTTTAAAATCAGGAAGGGTGTGCATCAGGGTTGTATCCTTTCACCATACTTATTCTATCTGTATATTGAGTAAATAATCAAAAAAGATGGGCTATGTGAAGAAGAACATGGAATCAAGATAGGAGGAAGACTCTTTAACAACCTGAATTATGCAGACTACACAACCTTACTCGCTGCAAGTGAAGGTGGCTTGAAGCACGTACAGACTTCAGTATGGATTATACCTCAGCACAAAGAAAACAAAAATCCTCACAGCTGGACCAGGAAACAACATCATGATAAATGGAGAAAAGAATGAAGTTGCTAGGAATTTCATTTTACTTGGATCCACAATCAACACCCATGGAAGCAACAGTCAAGAAATCAGATGTTGTATTGTACTGGGCAAATCTGCTGCAAAAGACCTTTTTAAAGTGTTAAGAAACAAAGATGTCATTTTGAAGACTAAGGTGTGTCTAACCCAAACCATGGTGTAGTCTATCACCTCATATGCACGTGAAAGCTGGACAATGAATAAGGAAGACAGAAAAGTTGATGCCTTTAAATTGTGGTGCTGGGAAAGAATACTGAAATACCATGGACTGCCAGAAGAACAAACAAATCTGTCATGAAAGAAGTGCAGCCAGAATGGTCTTTTGAAGTGAGAATGGCCAGACTTCATCTCACCTACTTTGTTCAAGTTGTCAGAAGGGACCATTCCCTGGAGAAGGATATCATGATGCTTGGTAAAGTAGAGGGTCAATAAAAAAGGTGAAGACCTTCAATAAAATGGATTTAGACAGTGGTTGCAATGATGGGCTCACACACAGCAAGGATTGTGAGGATGGTGCAGGCAGGAACAGGCAATATTTTGTTGTGTTGTATATGGGGTTGCCGTGAGTCTGAACCAACTCAATGGCACCTAACAACAGCAACAAGTATATGATACAACATTTGTCAGCATCCTATGATTACCCAGAAAGATAATCTTTTTAATCTCATTTAATATAATTTATTTATCCCACCATATTAATTAAATATCTTTCTTTAAGAGATTTTTCTTTTGCCTACCACATGCTATATAATTAAATATTTTAATCTTTTCCTACAACTATGTTTCTACTTCTCCTTATGCCTTTAATAATTTTCATTTTTTAAATTTTGTTTCTATGTGGTTTGAGTCTATATTTTGTCATTATTATTAACACCTCCTCAGAAGGAAGGTTGGGCACTCTACTGCTATATTGATACTGCCTCGGAAACCCAAGGAGGGGTCCAACTTGATGGCACATAACAACAACAACAACAACATGCCTTTGATTATTTTATAATGATCATCTATGTCATCTAATACTTTTTCATTTGAATTTTACTTTATATCATATTAATATAGGCCATGATTACCCATAGACTTACGTGGAACTTTCTTCTTTAGTATCACAACCAAAGCCTGATTCTTAGCATTTCACATGTAAAGTTTGAAGATTCTTGCTTGTTAGCAGTTGTGCATGGCTTTCCTAATCCTTCTTCATGACTTTGATGTTTTTACCACCTTTATAATTTTTACTGTGATCTCAAAGAATTTGGAAAGACACTGTCACTTTTTCACTAAAGTCTTAATTTTGTATATTCTTAAACTGAAACATATACTCCTAAAAGTTAAATCCCCTCCACTGAAAGTTCTGCTGGAAGCTTTTGATAGCAAGCTGTTCAGAGTCTAAGGAAATCTGTTGTTGTTGTTAGTTGCTGTTGAGAGTTGATTCTGACTCATGGTGAATCCTTTAGAGCCCATAAATAAATCAAATCAATCTCTCTGAGACTTGAAAGCCTCAGATGCCCCATTCAGATGACACATGCCAAGAAATTACAGCTGTGGTAGAGCTTAACTTTCTAGATGCTGACGGGAAGATTTCTTTTGGCATCAATTTAAAGATGCCTTCTAATATTATAAATAACAAAACACTAGAAATTTAATATCACATATTAAAGAAAAAGTGGCAGTAATATAGTTCCGTTATTGATAGTTTCGGATGGCTTTTGTTTGCTTGGCTGGGAATGAAACCACCCTTTACAATAGCATGTAGAGAAATAAATATATTCTGATTTCCAAACAACAGAATAATATGATATATATATATATATATATATATATATATATATATACACACACACACAAAACTTGTATATTTAAAACACCATTGTAATTTTGAAGAAAATATTTAAGATCCTTTTACCACATAAAGCTAAAAGCTAGACTTCATTTTCTATTACTTCCTGTCACTAAGAAAATGAGTCCCATGGTAGTGCAAACAGTTAAGCAACTGAGTGCTAACCAAAAGGATGACAAGTCAATTCCATCCAGAGGTGCCTCAGAAGAAAGGCCTAGCCCTCTACTTCTGAAAGGTCACAGTCATTGAAAACTCCGTGGAGCACAGTTCTACTCTGACACACATGGGTTCACCACAAGTAAGAGAAGATGCAAAGACAACTTGTTTATTTTTTAATCACTAAGAAAAAGTCACTAAGGTTCAGGTACATTTGTTTTCTCATCAAATTAATTATTACGCCCTTTTCTTATCAGCTTCATGGATCCTGTTCTGCAATATGAATTGCAATTGATGTTCATAGAGTCTGTTTTTAAAATGCTAATGGCTGTCCCAAGAATAAACAAAGTAAAAGAAGTAAACCATTGCAGTAATTATGAGGAGAACCTGCTGGTAAGATGCTTCTTCTTTTAATCATGATGAGAAATTGTTAAACACAGCCATACCTCATAGTGGGGAATGTCCGTAATGATTTTTATTGTCCTCACCTTCACAATTCTTCGATATAATAGGTGGAATTTACTAGCAAGTGATGCAAAGAAGAAAATAGGAGCATGGAAAGTTGGAAATGGGAGGAGTCACATGGTAAAGGTCAGCAACACTGTGGTCTCTTCTTTCTCAGCGCTGCTATGAATTACTTCTTCAGTTTATGGGCCAATGTACTTGCCCCATAAACTGAAGAAGTAATTCATAGCATGTGGTACTGGGGTGAATACTCCCTAGCATAACTACCTCTTCTTTCTTGCCTTTAGCTTATGGGGAGACTTTAGGACACCAGGATGCAAAATGATATACATTCAGTAAAATTTTATCAAATTTGTGTTACTGATGAATTATGTAACTGTTCTTTCCCCCCACCCAGGTTTTATATCAAAATATTTTTAATGTATTTGAAGATACTCTTCTGGTCTTAGTGTCTAAAGACCTCTATAAACTACAGATCTTAAAGGTAAAGTAGATAATTTGAGAAAGGGCCTATTTTTTCAGCTTGTGAATAAAGAGAAAATAAGATTTTGTTTTCATTTCATAAATCTAAAGATTTATAATGTGTATAGTTTATAATATGTTTCACTTATTATTTCCCAATTTCCATATTTCTATCTCCTTGAAATATATAGGCACTCTGGTGGCATTGTGCCCAAGGCATTTGACTGCTAACCAGAAGGCTGGCAGTTCAAACCCACCAGTCACTCCTTGGAAGGAAGGTTGGGCACTCTACTTCCATAGTGAAGAAACTCAAGGAAGGGTCACTATGAGTCAGAGCCTACTCAACAGCAGTAGCTTCAAATATTTGGTGGTAAAATTTCTCTTTACTTCTCCAAGGAATGAGATTACCCCCTTTATTTGAATTACAGAGGCCTCTTTTTAAGAATTCAATTTCGGGGCATGGTATCAGAAGACATTTGAGAAGGCAAGTGTTACGTGGCAATCTAAGGGTGAACACAGTAGGGGTAGCAGAGAATAGTACGATGATTGGCCTAAATTACTTTTAAGTCCACTTAACAGTGAAGCATACTGTGAATAGGGGCAACACACATGCTTCTTCCCCAACAATTCTGGGGCTACGTAATCCCAAGAGCATTCTATCTTCATGATGCCACACGATGAGAGGAAGGCCTAACAACTGTCCAAAACTTCATTGTTCACATCTAGACCTCATTGTCTTTAAATCACACCAGTCTGAGATAGGAGACTGCTCTGGATGTCTTAGAGTCTTCAATTTTGCACTCCTAAGACAATGGCATCAGGGGCCTGGTATATGGAAAAACTGAGACACCGATTTACTTATCCTACCAGAAGTATCCATGGAAGAACTCTGGACTATGACTTAAGAAAATCATAAAAAATATCCAAGTAAAGAAGCAGGATTGGTATCTATGAAGACAAGAAGGAAGGTAAGAGAAAACAAAATCCAGTTAAATCTGTGAGAGCTGGAACTTGACAGAACTATCTTGTTTCTCCCAGTCTTGCAAGTTCTCTGCCTTTGACAGGGTACAGTATTACCACTTTTCTGTTCTCTTGTTAATGGAAAATGTTTGAGTTTTCTTTCTCTTGCATGTTTCTGTCTTACACAGGTTCTAGCTTTCACAGATTTTACTGTATATTGAACTAATTTTTGCCTAACTTGAACCAAGTGTTTTTTGCACAAGGTCCCTGGGTGGCATAAGCAGTTTGCTATTGGCTTGGGGGGAAAATTAACCACTGCCCTCAAGTTGATTCTTACTCATAGCAACCCCCATTGGATTTACAAGGCTGTAAATCTTTATGGAAATTTACTGCCACCAGGTTGATTTGACTCATAGTGACCCCCATTGGGTTTCTGACACCGTAAATCTTTACAGAAGTAGATTGCCACATTGTCCTTCCATGCAGCAGCTAGTGGGGTTGAAATGGTGACTTTCTGTTTAGCAGCCAAATGCCTTATCCACTATACCGCCATTCACCCTGCAGTGTTGCTAAATAATGACCTGGCAATCCACTTCTATGAAGATTACAGCCAAGAAAACCCTGTGACGCAGCTCTCCTCTGTAACACATGAGGTCACCAGAAGTCAGAATTGACTCAACAGAAACAGGATTGGTTTGTTTTTTTTGGTAGTTTTGCATTTTCTAATTTTATCCTTATAATTCTTTAAAGTGGTTTTTATTATCCCACTTCCCCATTCATTTATTTTAAAGCACTCCATGCTGCTATCAATAACTTCCATTCGTTGAGCATTTATTCCATGTCAGGGACAAGCTGAATAGTTCATTTGTGAGCTATCTCATTGAACCCTTAAAATAACAGTATATGAAAGGTACTATTATTTTTCCCATTTTGTATATAGGAAATAGAAGTAGAAAGAGGATCAATAATATGTTCAAGCTAATGAGTAAAAGAGCCACACCCTAACTTGGGAGCCTATTACTTAACTGCTTGGTTCTTCTACCTGACACCTCCCAAACCTCTATCTTCAAACAGAGCTGAAGCTTCAGTCCTGAAAGGGGCAGGGGCTGACCCCTCTGAGAATTAGAGACTCCTCTTTCCTGGGGAATGGACTTCAGGACAATCTTCTGGGATGGGAGCAAGTAAAGGGAAAGAGGTTATTTGGCCAACCATTGCATAAATGCTATGGAGCCCAATAGGCTTAAGACATCTGCCAGAGTTTGTTGGCACAAGAGGCATATGCAATCTTCTTCTCTCCCCAAGGCTGTAAATATTTCCCTGCTACTGAGTACTGAAAACAAATAAATAGAAGTTTTAGCAAGGCAGATTTGAATCAAAATTAGCAGGGACTTTCTAACTGAACTGCACCAAAAGTTTGTCTAACAACCATGAACAGGAAAATTTCTGAGTCATGAATTTAATAAAGAAATTCGAGGTAAGATGATATTTTAAAATCAGTTAACAGTTTAGTTCTCTTTTAAAGCTGAAAATCAGATTCTGTGACTAAAAAGAAAAAGATGGATTCTGAAAGAAAAAGAGGAAGAAACTGCTGATATTATATCATATCCTCATGCTAAGCTTTTTTAAGATACCTGACAAAATAACTGTCATAATGGAAATTAAAAAAACTTAATGAGTGGTATTAAGTTAAATAAAACCCAAACATAGTTATAGTATATAAAGCAGTATACTAGATGCTTATTGCCCATATGTTGAACATAAAAATAGGCTAGGTGTGAAATAATCAGGAATATGCCAAAGAATATAAAAACCCACTGCAGTTGAGTCAGTTCCAACACATAGAAACCCTATAGGACTGAGTTGAACTGCCCTGTAGAGTTTCCAAGGCTGTAAATCTTTACAGAAGCAGACAGCCTCACTGTTTTTGCACAGAGCAGCTGGTGGGTTCACACTGCTAACTTTCTGATTAGCAGCCAAATGTTCTAATTACTTCACCTCTATAACTCCTCTCCGAGAATATAAAAATCATAAAACCAAACTCACTGCTGTCGAGTGGATTCAACTCATAGTGACCCCTCCTAGGGTTTCTGAGGCAGTATCTCTGTGAAAGTAGATTGCCCAATCTTCTTTCCCAGGAGTGGCTAGTGGGTTTGAACCGCCAGCCTTCTGATTAGCAGTCAAATAAATGCTTTAGGCACTACAAGGGCCTCCTAAATTAATGAAATTTGCGACTAGAAAGGGGAGACATTGGGATGGACATGACATTATTCTAGGATAACTCTTGTGTCTTTAACAGGAAATAGTCATTTGGATGAGTAAAGATAGCTCATACATGCAGGAAAGGATCATGGAAATCATAAGTAAAGTGCTAAGCTTTGCATCTGAGAAAGTCAAGGCACATGTAAGTTACAGAGTGGAATCAGGCCACCTGATTCTGATTCTATAATGTTGCTTTCCAAATGCTGGGTCTTGAGAGGGCTAGGTGCCTGCTTGGTATTATTGTGGAAGAAGGCTGAGGCACTGGGAAAGGAGTCAGTATCCTACATGATTTTATGTCAGTCAGAGTAGTGTTTCTCAAACAGTTGACTAAGACACATTATGCTTTGCACAAACAACATAAGTGTGTCAAAATCAAGTTTTCACTGACTCTCTGGGTTCTCCTTTATGGATCATATTTAGTGTTATTTTAATCATATAAATTTTTCCATCCTTCCTTTCCTAAAATATACTCTTAAGGTGTAATGTATTTATTTTAAAGTTAGGCAATTCATCAATACTTTCATTGTAAAACATACTAAATATAGAGCAAAAGTCTTCCTTTACTATCCTCCTCACTTCAGTCCCCTCCCCAGACATGTCAGTGTGATGTATGCCCTGTCAAACCTCTTTCTATATACACACCCACACACACATGCCCACACTGAGACATATAGTTATTTACTCAGTCTTTCTTTACTAAAGTTACATCATATTTCTACACAGTTCTTCAGCTTTTTTTGCTGAATAGTATGTCTTACCAATATTTTCATGTCTATATGTATATAGAGAGAGATTTATATAATTCATTTAACCATAGCATATATTCTATAGTTTTTAGATATTATAATCTACTTAGCAACTCCTCAACTGATGGATATGGTAGATTTTAGCTTTTTCCTACTTTAAACAATACAAAAATGGACATATTTATGCATGCATATAAGTACATTTTAAAAAATTGCTTAGAAAGATAATTGTTACTGTTGTTCTATGCCCTTGAGTCCATTCTGACTTGTAACAATTCTATAGGACAGAGTAGAATTGCCCCATAGGGTTTTCTAGTTTGCAGTCTTTAGAGGAGCAGATGCCTAGGTCTTTACTCCCACAGGGCTTCTGGGTGGTTCAAACTACCAACCTTTGGATTAACAGCAGAGCACTTAACCATTGCACCACTAGGGCTCCTTGATCAGCCTTATAACACAGCTGAATTTTTACTATTTTGCTTGAAATCAGCTTTGGAACACAGGTCTATTACATAAGGGAATACAGTTCATGATATTCTTTATATCATGCTGATCCCCTATTTTCAGCATCAAAAAAGAGGGACTAAGTGACTTGTTGGAGCTCTGGTGGCATAGTGCCTAAGGCATTTGACTGCTTACCAGGAGGTTGGTGATTCAAACCCACCAGCCACTCCTCGGAAGGAAGGTTGGGCAATCCACTTCTGTAGTGATACCACCTCAGCAATCCAAGGAGGGGTCGCTATGAGTCGGATCTGACTCAACAGCAGTGACTTTGGTTATTTGGAGTGACTTGTTTAAATCGTCTGATTATCAGGCCTGGGAAGCAGTCTTTCTCCATTTCTAAAAGTTTGTCTTAGCTAGTCCATTCAATGGTCTAAAGCGTTTATCACAGAAAATTTTGTGAGGCTTAAGATTAAGTGTAGTTCAAGCCTATTGTCTATACCCTATCTAAAACATTACAAACTCAGCAAATATTTGATGTCAACCATCTGACTAGGCCTATTCATATGCTTATTTCTGCATTTGGATATACATATTCTAGTGATTTTCACTCAGGTAGCAGGGATGTATTTTTGTGTTCCTCCTCCTCCTCCTTCTTCACCTTTTCCTCTTCTCGCTTTCCATTACTATAGCAAAGTTCATTCTCCCCTGCACACAGCCCACCTCTCAACTGTTAAAGAATAAATGTGTAAATTCATATGTGCAGTAGAGGCCCTCATTAGTTGTTTATTGAGGACACTGAAATTTATTTGAGAAACCAAGTGGGATAACCTATTACTATGTTTTGCAATGGTCACTAAATGCCACTAGTAGAAGCACATCAGCATTTTCTAGAATGTTGACACAAAGCGCTAGAGTCAACCAGATCATTATAGTCATGTATAAAAGTTTGTGAATTAACTTTCTCTTTAAAATAATGTCCAAGGATATTTAAGTCAGTGAGATTAATGGAAAACTAAATATAACTAATAAAACAATAAAAAAAGAACTTTGTAAATATGTTTTATTATATAGCCAAGTTTGCCAGTGACCAAGCATGTATATGTCTGTATCAAACACATGGTTGATAATCAATGAAGATTTGTTGTGCCCTTCTCTAACTAAATATAATGATTCTATTCTCCATTATTGTCCATACTCTAGATAAAGACTTACTTCTTCACATATAGTCAGTCTTCTACAGTCTCAGAGACTCTTGTCCAATTAAAAATCCTATCATTTTTATTCTGTCAGAAATATTCTTGAAAGTGTTAATTCTCCTCACATGGCCCATATGGCAATCAGGGTGGGAAAACTCTTACACTCAAAGACTATTCAATTAAACTGTTGAATTTTCCAAAGACAAAGTAATGTGAGCAAAATAAATAATCTTATAGAAGAATCATATAATAGAAAGATATTTTTCCTAGGTTCATTCCTTTGGCACATGAGACTTTAAAAGATGGATGGAAGATTTCCAACCAAATCTAGCAGATTGCCAACATGTATTTATCTCCTCTCTCTCCAGAGTTCTCACAGAATGATAGCAATGAAATGTATTAAAGATCTAAGTTCACAGTAACAAAGAGAATTAGTGGAGGTTTTAATGGGCTAAAGATGTCCAGAAGACAGAATAGATAGAAGACAACCAGTAACCCAGTTGTTCTCCAGTCCATGCTGATTCATGCTGATCTCATGTATGCCAGATTACAACTGTGCTCCATAGGATTTTCAGTGCTGATTTTTTTGAAGTATATCACTAGGCATTTCTTCTGAGGCCCACTTGGGTAGACTTGAGCCTCCAACCTTTCAGTTAGCAGCCAAACATCTTTGCTATTTATATCACCCATAGACTCCAGATAGAAGACACTAACTGATAAAATCAGGGTGCATGACAAGAGCCTATGAACATTGGGGTGGGGATCAACTGAAAAGGGAGATTATTCATTCATCTTTCAGAACCCTGGAGAAGCTGGAGCTATGAAAATGCAACTAATGATGGCAGGTGGGAGTCAAAAAAGGCTGAAAGTACATGCATTAATTAAGAGGATTAATTTACTCCTTCATACACTTATTATATTCAATTCAGACAGTGTCCATTGGCAGGTAAAATGTGAGGATTTCTTTACTGAAAACAATTTTAAGTTTCCTGAGAAAAGACTCTTGCATTCTGTTGTATAGATATACTTTACTGTGATAGCAGCCTCCCTACCTAACCACCATAAAACAACATCTACAAGTTTCCAAAATTTGTGCACATATAAAACCTCATCAAGTGGCATTAGATTCTTAAAAATGAATAGACAACTAAGATTTTCCAGACTATTTGAGGATATTCTCCAAAATAGACAGATCGAAGAAAATAAAGAGGGAAAAAATGACTATCAAAAATAGGTAATTCAGGATACTTTTTCTTAGAAAGAGTAAATATTTATATCAGGAAAAGGGGATATAATTAAAGTGAGCATAGACTATGTATGCATTAATGGTTTTACTTAGTCACTATAATGAGAACACTCTTGATTGATTGTCACCTTTTAAGATCAATCTATAAAATAAACATAAAAAAGCTTAAGAGAGCTACTGAACACAATGTAAACACTATGAACTCAACAAGGCAAAAATAAAAGCCCAGGTAACAGTTTAGTGGTTCCTCAACAAGTTAAACATAGAATTAGCTAGCATGTTGCTATCATTAAATGCTATCACTCATAGCGACCACATGCAATAGCGTAGAAACAGCATGCAATAGAGTAGAAATGCCCTATAGGGACTTTTAGGCTATAATCTTTACTGGAGAAGATCACTAGTTCTCTGTCCCACAGTGCAGCTAGGTGGGTTTGAACTGCTAACCTCTTGAGTAGCAGTCAAGTACTTAGCCTTTGTGATATCAAGGCACCTAGGATTAGCATGTTGTTGTTGTTGTTGTGTACCGTCGAGTCACACCTGACTCATAGTGACCCCTCCTTGGGTTTCCGAGGCAGTATCACTACGGAAGTAGGATTGCCCAACCTTCCTTCCGAGGAGTGGCTGGTGGGTTTGA